AGTACGGAATAAAAACTACCAGGTGAGCATACCCCACAAGAGTCACTAAGAGTGTGATAAATGAAAGGGGGCGGCGGGGGGGGGGAAGAACCCTTTTATGGACACCCAGCCAGCCAGTTAGCTATAAAATCTCTCTTAGTAGTTGTTCTCTACTTGCTTTACCTGTTAAAGGTTAAAAAGTCTCCCTGCATAGGTAAAAGGAAGGGAGTGGGCACCTGACCAGAAGAGCCAATGGGAAGGTTAGAACTTTTTAAAATCGGGGGGAAACTTCCCCTTTGTCTGCCTGTGTTGTTCTCCCGAAGAGCAGAGACAGGGCTGAAACTATGCTGTAAAAAGCTTTGGGCCAGGTATGAAAAACCATCAGATCATACCTAGAAACTACTCATTTGAAACCCCAGATATGTAAGTAGATCAGGAAATGTCTAGGAAGACGCGATGAAGTTTATCTCTTTTATTTCTTTATGGCTTGTGGGCTCCTCTGTGCTAACCCCCAAATGCTTTTGTTTTGCTTGTAACCATTAAGCTGGACCTCAAGAGAGCTATCTTGATGCTTAATCCTTGTAATTGTTTTTTTTAAATCTAGCAAAAAGCCTAAATTCCAAATGTATTTTCTTTGTTGTTTAATTAGCTGGTGGCAACAGCGGATTTCCTTTTTTTTTCCTTTCTCAGCTCTTCCCGGAGGAGGGGGTGAAAGGGCTTGAGGGTACCCCACAGGAAGAAATTCCCAAGTGCACCTTCCTGGGTTCTCAAAGGGCTTTTTTTTGCACTTGGTTGGTGGCAGCATCTACCAATCCAAGGTCAGAGAAAAGCTGTAACCTTGGGAGTTTAATAAAAGCCTGGAGTGGCAAGTATTAATTTTTAGAATCCTTGCGGGCCCTCACCTTCTGCACTCGAAGTGCCAGAGTGGGGAACCAGCCTTGACAAAGAGGTTCTCATCTGACTCTTATTGTAAATTGATCCAGCCAAGTCTGTCTGATCCATGAACCATTGCAAAACCTTTGAGTTATTTTTAAACCCTGATTTGCAAGTTTGTTGTTTTCTTAAATTAAGACTTTAAGACATTTTAAAAACACTTGATCATAGAAGCCAAATAGCTCCAGAGCTAGTAAATGGAATTCAAAATGAGCTGTTAAAGTGAACCGCATCTGTATTTTCTTTTTTCCAACTCTTTTGTGTTTAAATTCCTTGCCATGATGTTACATTTTCAACTGAATTTCTGTTAACAAAAAAGTTGATTCCTGTGGATATGTACTCAATGATCAAACATTCAAATAAAGTCAGCCTGATTGTGTCATTTCACCATGAAACCAACAATTATACATTCAAATAAATTAGTTCCTTAGGCCAGGTGATATAATCACAACCCATTCAGAAAAAATCAAAGTTACTTCAAGGGGATGCGTGCTTGACTCCCAAAAAATGAGTGCCCACATAGCGACTTGGGGACTGGAAAAATCCAGGGGGTTGACAGCTTGCAATGAGTAAAATGACGCACACAGGTCTGGGTTAGGGTATAACTGAAGACATTTGGAAGATGAGGAAGTGGGATTTTGTCACAGGAGAGCATTTATATGAATGTTTTGTATAAGTAAAGCATTGAGAAAGGGAATGAATACTTTCCTTTTTTAGGCCTTTCATACCCCATAGTGTTAGCAGTAGCTTTCCTCCCACTGACTACTTACTAGATGATTTAAGGCAAAGCAGATTTTTTGTCCTGGCTGCTGTTTAAGACTGTATACTGAGTCTCTCTCAAAGATATAGCTTTCAAAGATATAAAATATTAAATTTCTTTTAAAGCAAAATACTTTATCATGTTATAAAGTAAATATTTGTAACAGAGCCTTTAATTATTGGCAACAAGTGAAGTGACACCTTAAATCAGTGGTTCTTAACCTGGGGTGCATGCACCCCCTGGGGGTGCGAGATGCCCTTTCTGGGGGTACGAGACATGCCAGATTTTTTTTAGAAGGTAAATCATCGAAAACACAAATTAAGCACAGGAACGTAAGTACAACTACTTTGTTTCATCAAACCTATGTATTTATTAACATTATACATTTTTTAACAATTACTGTAATATTACTGTACAATTACTGTAATATACAAACAAAAATATATCTAGGTTTAAGGAGTGTGAGAACATATTTTGATTTTTGATAAGGGGTGCGAGAACATATTTTGAGAACCAAAGGGGTGCAGGCTGCAGTGAAGGTTAAAAACCGCTGCCTTAAATTCTACTACTCTTCAGATAAAGTTCTTTGTGGGAGGGTCAGTTTGAGGGACCTCAAAGTTCAAGGAAGAAAATTATCAGAAAGTTTCTCCTTTTGATTTTTGAAACTTAAGATTGTGAGATAAGAAGACCAAAAAGGGAAAGACTAGCTCTGTACTGAAAATGCTTCCTGTGGTAGCAGAATGGCAGATACTTGCAGTGTTGAAGGGTTTTTGATTACAGGCAATCCAGAGGCAGGGTCCCGCAATTGTAAACTTTAAGATCTGCATACTGAACTTTCATTGTCCCATCATTTAGTGAGGCAGACTCAGTTTGTCTGGTCAAGCCATGACAGTAGTCAAGAAGCAGGATGCTTCCTGTCCACAAGGTCTCAAGACAAAACCTTCTCTATCGATAGAATGTGTGTTTAACTAGGAGAAGGGAATCTGCATCCACCTCAGGCTTGTACGCTGACAGGAAATAAAACCTGGAGTACTGGTTGGCCTTCTAACCTACTGAGGAGCTCCAGTTCCACTGGCCCTGAAAGCAGGGAGCCTGTCTCTGCTGTGCTCTCAATGAGTCTTCTCTGCTGGGCCCAGGTAGTGTGGATGAGGAAACTGACGGTTTGAATTCAAAGTGAACAAGAGACCAGGGTGGGAGGCTATGGACGACAACTCCATTCATTATTCTTTGAAAAAATGAATGGCCAGGAACAAGGAAAGGCTGTAGCAATGGGAAGTATTCACAGACCACATATACAAGTACTAAAAGCTTGAACACCACCCACTTATGTCAGTATAACTTGCATGGCTTAGGGGGTGTGAATAAGCCAGCCCCTTGAGTGCCATAAATTACACTGACCTAAGCGCCGGTGTTGACAGCACTATGTCAGCAGGAGAGCTTCTTGCAGAAGGGGTTTTATTATGCTGACAGGAGAGCTCTCTTCTATCCGCATAGAGCGTCTTCACCAGACGCACTACAGCAGCACAGCGTCATCAGTTCAGCTGTGCCGCTGTACCGCTTCTAGTGAAGACTAGCCCTAAGACTACCGAGGATGTAGAATATCAGCCACAGACATAAAAGGATGAATGAACAATTCTGTGGGGTAGAATGACACTCCACACTACTAGAGATACTAAGGGTTGGTTACAACTATTCTAATACAATAGCTATGAAGATAGAAAATAAATTTGGTAGAGAGAACAAAAAGATTATCTTTACGTAATCAGGCATGGCAAAGTAGCTTTTGAATAACGGACATTAAAAAGGGAACATTCTTTGGTTGAGTTTAAAACAAAAATCTATTTACATGTTTTGTTTTAGCTGACATGTCCACAGATTCTCACGAATACTTCCTAATAAACTGACTGAAACTGAGTAGTAAAGGATGGCTGTATCTATATTACTGCTAGGTTGCCAAAAATTACGAGTTATTGGATTTTTATACTCTTCCACCACTGTACCAAACAAACTACTGCAGCGCTATTCTTCTCTGAAGTACCAAGATTAGGACCACAAGACTCTTGGTTCAAAGGCTATGAACAAGACATTAATGAATAGAGAACAGGATGTTGGGCATATCTATCTCTAGTGGCAGGTATAGAATCATAGAATATCAGGGTTGGAAGGGACCTCAGGAGGCCATTTAGTCCAACCCCCTGCTCAAAGGAGGACCAATTCCCAACTAAATCAGCCCAGACAGGGCTTTGTCAAGCCTGACCTTAAAAACCTCTAAGGAAGGAGATTCCAGCATCTCTCTAGGTAACCCATTCCAGTGCTTCACCACTCTAGTGAAAAAGTTTTTCCCTAATATCCAACCTAACCCCCTTTCCGCCCCCCCACTGCAACTTGAGACCATTACTCCTTGTTCTGTCATCTGGTACCACTGAGAACAGTCTAGATCCATCCTCTTTGGAACTCCCTTTTGGGTAGTTGAAAGCAGCTATCAAATCCCTCCTCATTCTTCTCTTCTGCAGACTAAACAATCCCCGTCCCCTCATCCTCTCCTCATAAGTCATGTGCTCCAGCCCCCTAATCATTTTTTTTGCCCTCCGCTGGACTCTTTCCAATTTTTTCACATCCTTCTTGTAGTGTGGGTCCTAAATCTGGACACAGTACTCCAGAGGAGGCCTCACCAATGTCGAATAGAGGGGAATGATCACATCCCTCAATCTGCTGGCAATGCCCCTACTTATACAGCCCAAAATGCCGTTAGCCTTCTTGGCAACAAGGGCACACTGTTGACTCATATCCATCTTCTCGTCCACTGTAACCCCTAGGTCCTTTTCTGCAGAACTGCTGCCTAGCCATTCAGTCCCTCGTCTGTAACAGTGAATGGGACTCTTTCGTCCTAAATGCAAGTGCAGTATGTTGGTGAATAGGACAGTACCAAATCAGCCCAAGGACAACTGTCCCGCAAACAAGAGGAGTGACTTCACATACAAGATTGAGACAAACAGGTGGCTCCTATGTTACTTCAGACAAAAGCCAACTTACCTGGTTTGGTGGAGAATGCTATGGAGAGCACCAGCTCCAGTAAAGTCTGACAAAATGCTGGCTTAGTTGGTTAAAAAATGGCAAAATAATAAAAGAATTATTAAGAGATTGTTACATCTCTTACTCAGGTCCTGTGATTAAATACTGGCCCAAAAATCAAGTCATGGTATTTACAGCAGAGGGAGTAAGGCCCTACTGTTGACAAATATTCCAAATGTTTAATCAACTTCATTTCACTTTAGACAGGTTCACAATATGCAAAGATTATAATATTTTTAGAAACTAAGTCCCTTACCTTTTATATCTGCTTGAAACTGTCCTAGAGGATTCCTACAAGAAATTGAAAAAAACAAAAAGGAAAATATAATTTCATGCTTTTCATTAAATACACTAATGCTTTTATGAATACTCAACCATCTCATATACAAGCAATTTACAAATAATTAAAAATTAGACTTGCAATTTCAGATCAACATAAACATCTAGCTTTTACATTATCATGTCTATGACCTACTAGTCCAAAAGTAGCAGGTAGTAACTATAGGGTGGGGTGGGATAAGAGATAGGTGGGGAGAAGAAGAAAGGGCCCTACAGTAGAGGTAGAGCCAAAATTCTGATGAGAAATCCAGATCGCTGCCTCATCCATGTGCTGCAAAATCCAGATCCCTGCCCTACTCAGATGTTAAGGGGCAGGGTCCGAGATTTCTATAAGGACACTCTTTCTAGATTCCAACTGGAAGTTTTTCATTTCAGCCTTTGGTTAGTAGGAGTCATATAAATTTGAAGACCCTTCCAGAATGTTCTGGCTACCGAAAGTGTAGGTAGACATCTCTCCATTATTCTACCCTTCCTTATCAAAACGCCAATGTCTGTTTCTACTGTTGCTCCTAGGTTTGTTAAAGGACAGCTGAGTGAAACTGCTACGATTCTTTAGGGCCACTGCTGAACGACAAAAGTAAAACTGACCAGTGTTTTAATTTCATTTTGTAACTGCTGAGCAGCAACACTGAAGTATTCTGTCTGCAGACTCAGTAAGACAGTACTGTGTTCATCTGCACTCAGTTCATGTTTGCAAAATTATCTTCACATATTTCTAGACAGTAGTTCAAATGTTGCAAAATGTATGTTTGAACTTTGAACTTGACAGAATCAGCTTTGTACTCATCACTGGTTCGTGGATTTATTTTACTTTAAAAAAAAATCTACTTTTCTGAATACAAGCCATGAACATATTTGCTTTTTTCACCGCTGCTATGCAATGGATGCAGGTTTTTACTAAGTGGTCTACAATGCTGCCTAGGCCTGTTTTTCTTTAGTGTTACAGTTAAATTTAGAACTTGTCAATATAACAGCTTTCTACATCTCAAGCAGTCCAGGATTCAGTTTGCGTTTACTTATTTAATTTTTTCAATTAACTGAGTTTCATTTTTCTTTAATGTTCATAGCATTCAGCTTAGAGCCTTTATTTTTTATGACCTTGAAACCGTACCTCTTGCAACCACACACTTCAAATTGGCTATTTTTAACTGATATTTTGGTCCATCAACTACAGCTGGGATACCTCCAGCACAGAGATGCATCCTCTGGATGGTGAATGGGTGTAGCCAACTTGGGGAAACCTAGAAGGTTGCAATGAATATTACAGAATAAGGTGCTGTGAACCAACAGTATGTAGGAGAAGGATGGCCAAACAAAAAATCCCAGACTGATCACATGATGATTAAAAGGCACAGATGCCACTTCTATGGATTAACATCCAACAGTGACCAAGTAGGACAGTAATAATGAACTTCTAGCAGGAAAAATTAAGTTTAAGTTAAAGTGAAAGAAAGAGATGGTGCAACTGGAGCCAAATTTGATTTTGATAAGTTAAAGGATCGCTCTGTGAGGGAGGAATACAAGGTAGTGCTTGCTGGGCATTTCAGGCTATTAATTTGCGATGATGAAGAAATCTCACTACAGACTGGATGGAAAATATTCAAGGAAGCAATACAAAACAGCAAAGGAAGTTACTGGAATGCATAAGCAAACAAAAGCTGCACAAACAAGGAAACAAGAATATTATAAGAAAGGTGTAAACAAGCTAAGAATGCTGGGAAAGTGAAAGTAGTAAAAGCATTATGCAAAGTGGAGAAGTCAAAGGTTGGACAAGCAAAAGTTTTGGAAAGAAGATGCTCAAGAACTAGAGAAGGCATCAAGAAAACAAGGTGTAAACAATATACAAAAAGGTGAAATTATGTGAAAACTCAATCAAGCCAATGATGCAAGTGGTGAAGAAGGCTGCCAGTGAATGGACAACAAATGCCAAAGAGTTGCTGGAAACCCGGAAGGAACATTTTGACAAAGTGCTGAACCCTGCATTTCACACAGAAGCAAGCATTCTAGACATGCAAGATGAACAGGGCAGCTTGCAAGGCAGAATGGATATCAGCTCTGAACCACCATCAGATAAAGAAAGAGCAGTTAAATGGGAAAGCTGCAGGAATAGACAACGTAACAGCTGAACTGCTAAAACCCAGTGCAACAAGTGCTATCAAAGCATAAGGGGAAAAAAAACAGCGGGTATCTGAGCAAGAGGAGCTATTAGACAACTGGCTAACAGCAATAGCTGTACTAATCCTGAAGAAAGGAGATTCTGCCAATTCAAATAATTATAGATATATAATGCAGAAGAAAAACAGATGACATGGTGGCAAAGAAAATAACATAAGCACAACCAAGATCAGTTTGTCCTAGAGGCTGACCACCGGCTAAATGGCAGGATATTGTACACAGGGACACGCGCAGGCGGGGCTTAATAGAGGAACAAATCATGGACAGAAATGAATGGTGCTGCTGTACTGCTCCCCGTGTCTTCAAAGATGCTCTGGGATTAAAGCAAGACAGGTAGTTTATTGAATAACTATTCAGTGTTGCATTCTTTTTCTGTAATAATAAAGAAACTGAGCTACCCTGAATCATTTCCCCAGTTGTATTGAGGTTTGGGGTTTTTTTGGTAGAAAGGTGTGCACTGAAACAGCAGAAATGAATATAGCATTTTGTACCCTGCTGAGGGATCTTGGCCAAAAAATGACCATGCAATTTTTTTTTATTATTATTATGCCAACTGGTAGGAGTATCCTATGATTACCCACTTAAAGATGTTGAAAAACAAATTTACAACTGTTGTGTGTGCATTCAGAGAGTTTTACAGCAACCTGTTTCTCTTCAGGCTCTGTGTGGTTTTCCCTCCTCTCCTCCCCACCCCCAATGTGAGTAGGTGAAGCTCCAGTGGAAGCAGAATTCACCATTTCTCTTTATTATTAAAAAAATCATCAATCACTTTTCTATTCTGGCATTGTAGATAGCAAAATGGAAGACAAGCAGAGAGTCAAGAGGACTTTTTTTTCCTGTTACAGTACTTGTGATAAAATACATTATGTATAGTAAGAAATAAAAATACTATATGCAAGGATATAATCACGTCAATACCTAGCGGCCATTCAAGATCAGAGGTTTAGAGGGGATCTACATGGAAAGGTAGGACATGTTCAATCTAGTGAAAAGATGGCTGAGGTTAGACATGGCAAGTCTACAAATATTTAAGGAGATGTCCTAAAAAGAAGAGGAATCAATTATCCTTTTGGTCAAAGACCAAGCTGGTTGCAACAATAAAGAAAAATAGTTTAAAATTCAGGAAACACTTTAAGAAAAGTTAAGCAAGGGAAAAGGTGCCTAATGAGGCTGAACAATCATTATCACGGATTATAGTAAAGAATGTAACAAGTCACCCATCGATTAATGATAATGATCTAAAGGTCTAAGTTCATCAATGAAGCGAAAGGTAAGAGATATTTTAGTTTCCGCTCTTGTAAGAGGTCTCTCTAAGCCCTTCGCATCCTGGGTGTTAAGGGTGTAATGTCTTATGTGTAGATAAGAGTACAAAAGTAAATTAGCCAGTGATGGTAAAGAAAATTATGATCTCATTATGGAAAGATGCAAGCTAACTATTTTAACCTGACATCAAGTGTTAGCTATTTTACAATTCACAATGGCTAGAAGTAGGACTTCTTTACCATTGGAAAACTAATATTTGACAGCTTTCAAAGAGGAAACAGTCACTTCTAGCTCTGGATGGCCAAGGAAATAGAACTTTAAAATTGTTACATTAAGTTTACCAAGATTTATTCACTTAGATTCTCCCTCCCTCCCCCAGGCCCTGTACCAGTGAACTCACAGTGGTGAAGAGTATGGCTTTATAAAAGTGGAAGGATGCAAGAAACAGTACCAATTTATTACATTACAATATGGTGTTGTATAAAGTTTCACCACTCATAAGTTAATGCAGCCATCCTATGCTCCTGCCCGCCCCCCCAAAAACAAAAACAAAAACTTTTGTCCCAAACAGCATCACGTATTTCTTTAAACTATTTGCGTTATTTGTAAAGCAACAACAATACGCTTAAAGTTTAATAAAACAAAAATAGAGAAAGTAATTTGCCACAAAAAAGTTTGTGATCTACAAGAAAAACAGAAGACAGGATTAACTGGAAATCCCACAGGAAGGGGCTAACTTGTACAAAGTTTATTACTACAGCTCACTGCTTGTGCGCCTAAATATATGATCAAGTCCCTTCCCCCCCTGAACTTTCCTCAAGATCTTATTTTTTCATGCCCTAGTTACATCATTACACTTTGAGTTATTTTATATATATTATTATAATTATTCTTGCATTGTTTGTTTATTGATCACTAATAATACCACACAACAGGGGCAATAACAACAAGAGTTAAGAGATTCAAAATAGGCTGAAGTGAGGGAGAAGACTTGAAGACCTCAATTCTTCTATACATTTCAGCAAGCTTTGTTCCACTTAGGTAGCTCCAAGCTGCCATAAACCCAGCAATAGTGGTCACTGGAAGATTCTACAAGCACAGCAGAATCGTCAGGTGCCACAAAGTAGAGATCATTCTAAGCCCTTTTCCTCCATACTCCAGAATAACATTTGATCACCAAATGATATTTCATTGAATAAAGTTTTTTTTTTTTTTAGAAAAATGTAATCTTTTTAATCACTTCCTCACAGTAACAAAAGGTACAGATTCACTATCACATACAAGAGGCAAATCCCTCTGGAACCAAGGTCTGCACTGTCAGCACTCTGAATTCAAGAATTACTATCCTTCCTTGTTCTCCTCTCCTTGATCTCCATTCTTCACTTCTATTAGCCTAATGACAGAAGAGTCAATGTGAACATGGATCTAATATTTGGCAATTCCACAGAATGCCACTCTGTCCCCTCTTCTTTTTAATCTAGAGAGTGGCCTATATAAATATTTATATATGGGAG